AGGCCCTCTGTGTCTTGCCAGACTGGCTTGAAGGTCGTGACCAGTTGCGCCCCGTTTAAACTAGCTACCCATTTGTGGCTGGGCACTGTCTAGTTGCTGAAGGGTGCTACAATGACCAATTGGTCTCGCTCTGCTCCAACTCGATCGTGCAATAATTAGCTATGCCAGTTGCAAGCTACACGATCCTCTAAAAGCTGCTCCCCACTCCGCCCATGTTACGTTTCCCTCAATCTCACTCAGGTGCAGTCAAGATACCAAAACCGTGCCATAGCATTGGCCACCATCTTGGGCTCGAAGCTAGCCGAGAAGTCCCAAATCCGCGCCATGGCAGCTTGTAGCAAGTGCGCTTTTGAGCGCCACGGGTTTTGAGCGGGGAGAGTTTGCATTGGCTTGATATATATATATATATATAAGGATGGGATGCTTGGCTGTTTCCACATGCCCCCGAGTGTGACGTTTTTTTGCTGTGGAACCTCGTCGCAAGCCACCCTACTTCTAGCCAGTCACTTCTCTGAAGACGAAACCTTTCAGAATTTCTGCCAGTCCACATTCGATCTCGAATCTCCCCATTGCAAGCCATGTGCCTGCCTCTAAGTTTCCAGCCCCATGCCCACGGAGTCATGCATCAACTCTCAAGGGGCACGGCCAAATAGTGCTGGTGCCGTGCAAAATTCAACCATGGTGCTGATAGCGTTTGATAGCAGCTAGCAGTTGGCACAGGAGGGGATTGATATTCATTGGTCCATTTTCCATCACCCTCAACATGAAGAACATCAAGGGAAAAAAAGGAAGGAAAGGAAGGAAAGAAGAACTGTTTCAGGCTTGAAGAACATAGAAAAATGATTGGAAAAAGAAAAAAGAAACATAAAGGAACTCCACGCGGCGTCGCAGACTAGCAGAAAGGTTGACCAAAACCACCGAATTATGTCAAGGTCAAGGTAGCCAAGTTTCCGTGCCCCAGAAGAAAGTCCACAGTGCAGCCTCCTGGCTAGATCCAAGACCAAGCAGCAAACGCCATGAAAAAGGGGGTCGAGTGAATGCTTCAATAGATAGTATAGATTTGATGTGTTTGCCTGGTGGCATTGTGCCTGCTCACAATGAATCGCACCGATACGATGCTTTGAGCTGATGTTTCTCATGGGGGAGCTGGCTAGATTCACCACTGAGGAGAGATTGCATCTGTCTTGACCACAGCTTAAGGGGTCGTATTAAACACATGCATGCATGGGAAGGCTTATGGTGTTCAGCGTCATAAGTCTCATAAGTACAATATTACATAATATTTATTGCTTGTGAATATTTGTTATATTTTGATTTGTACTGATTTATGCTTTTGCATGCTTTTGCTTGCTCAAGGCTGACATCGGCAACTGGCATATGCATGTTCTTCTGGGTGCTCTTTTTCTCGGGGCTTGGAGCTGAGAATGTACCTCATTGATGTTGCAGGTGTTGCAGGTGTTGCAGGTGTTGCAGGTGTTGCAGGTGGTTTCACGCTCCAAGTCGTGATGACTTCATGCCGTCTCAATCAGGGCCGCGAGAATCTGCTGCCGTGGCTCCTGGCGTTAAACCTAACCGAGTCAAGTGTCCTACTTTGCCGGCGTCAGGAACTACATGCCTTGAGTTCATTTTGCCATTGATCACAGTGTTTGCACATAGTCCGTGGTTGGTTGTGTGTGTGCCCCACCTGGCGATAGACTTCTAACCTTGACGCTTGACCCAGGCCGGACTTGCTCAGAACCGGAATCCCCCGATACCACTTGATCAGGTTCAGCAGCCCAAAGGTGTCTTTTTCGATTGGGGATTGCTACACTATCTTGACACCGAATTGTCCGGCGTTCTGCCGGAGATTGCACCATGCACTAAAAATGGTAATTGAATTCCTCCTTGGCCATTTTGGCGTCTCACTGTCGGAGGCCGTCTCACATCGGCCTCAAAAGATCGGAGCCTAAAAGGGCCTAAAAGGCGCGGCTCCAAAGAACTGTCACATCCAAAATCAACTGCCTCTGAGATCAACTGGCATCATCTTTGTGCAGCTCGGCATCATGAAAATCAAGCCTCTGAGAAAAGCTCATCGAAAGTCTCCGGTCATATCAACCTCGATCATGCCTGATCCGCTTTCAGAAGTCGTCGAATGCCGGCGCATCTCAGATCGGCGCCTGGCCTCTCCAGGCTGTACGATACCAAGCTCCTGCTTCAAGCGATCGTTCTCGGAGATCACATTCCTCTTCAGAGCCTCTGCTTCATCGAAGAGGCGTCTAAGTGATTTCTCACCTTCTTCCCTTTCCTTCAGGGCTTTCTTCAGGTGGATGACATCTTGCTCCAGCTGGCGACAGGTCTCTTCCAACTTGCCGCGCCCTCCCTCAGCCAAACCCGTCTTGAGCTGAGCATTCTCCTTTTCCAAACGGCTGCAGAAGTCTTGAAGCTCATTGAAGCGGCTGCGCAGCTCTGCTAGCTCCCGCAAAGTCTCCATCTCCATCTGTCGCTTGGGCTTCTCTGGGCTCATTGTGAGACTTTCCATGGGAACACATGGCCACTGCCACGGGTAGATGGGCGCTACTGGAACCAAGGCCCACGGTGGCGCCCCCCGCGAGGCGCTGGCTCCACTCGCTCCGCTCGCTCCACTCCGCCGCTCGTCGAAGCGCAGCGGTGAGAGGCGGCGCTCCGGCGACGGCGTCCGCGTCGAGGCGGAGGCGGGGGCGGAGGCGGCCGCTCGGATGCGCGCAGTGGTGTCGGCCGCAGCAGCCATGGCCACTTCCTCCAAGGTCACGCTGCAACTGCTCATAGGTGGCTCCCACGGGCGAAGGCGAGGGGCCAGTAATGGACTGGAGCCCTCCATTTGCACAGCCCTGGAGCCTCACACCCACGTTCGAAGCTGAGCCAATATGGATGCAAACGATAGAAAGTGAGACAAGATTTCGTCACTTGTCTCACCGGCCGTTTGTGGTGAGTTGTTTGTTCCATCGATGCAATTCTTGGCCCAAGTCCTTGCACTTTGGCGTTGGAAGAGGCATGGCGAAGGCTCTCAGCCTCTGCATCCACCTGACAAATCACAGCCTTATGGCGCTTATGGCCAACATGTCACGGGGTTATTGACTCAGTACAATAGCAAAATTCTCTCGTGGAGCTGGTCTAGCAAAGGCCAGTGTGCACAACTCCGTTGCTCCTACTCAGCATGAGCAAAACACCTCCTGCCGATACCCTCAAGCTAAGAATGCAGCTCCCCACATCTCAGCTGTGGTCCCACGCGCCATTCCTCAGCTGCAATCGCTATGCCAACCTCTGACTGTTTCTCTTTTCTGGGTCGGATGTATCATGGCGTGTCCATGTGATGATGCAAAGAAGCATAAATGGCAAAGTGTAAAAACGTCACACTCGTTGCCTTGACATGCTAGGTACACAAGTAAAAGTCAAAATATGAAATACAACCACGGCTTAAGACTCGTTCTTGATGCTCTTGAAGCAACAGCTGGGGGCCGTGCGGCCCAGAGCCCACTGAAGTGCAAAAAGATATGTGCCTCCAAAAGGACAAGTTTGCATACTTCCCTGATCTGCAAACACCCAACTCAACAGGAACCCCTTGCTTAAGTCCTAAGTGCCTAGAGACGAGCATTCAGCTGCACAAGTTTCCAACACTCATGTAATTCGTGTAATGAAATCTCACATGCATGTCAACAGCAACCAAGACATGCAAGCTTGGGACAACAAGAACTTCATCTGCAATTCAGGCACGCACCCCCAGCCCTGAGAGCCAGACCGACACCACACATGGGGTCCAACCTCAAAAACGACAACCCCGTGCAGACTGTCGTTTCGAGGCTGTCACCTGATATCTCCAGCCAACACCACATGTGGCTCTTTCCGCCAGAGGGTTTGAGAGAGACTGCGTGAGAAGGAGACAAAGGAAACGAAAAAACAGGTAAATAGATGGCTGGCTAGCTAGATAATACAGTAGATAGGCAAACAAACGGACGGACAGACAAACAAACATCACTATATAGATAGATGGAGAAGGATTAAAAAAAAAGAAAAAAACTTGATGTGAACGATGTTCTCTCTGAGTTCGACACACTCGGAGGTTTATCGCACCTGCGTGGTGCAATAGGCTCTGTGCAGAGAGAGCCCGGCTATGTCCCGACCTATCCCGCCCTTTTCGCCGCGGTGCTTTCTGTCACCTGCGTCAAAGCCCGTCAGCACGCGGAAAAGAGTTGCCAATCAAAGGTTGAAAGGCCGGTGCCTTCGTCTTTCGCTGGTGAGTTGCAAGGGATTCCAAGCTGGGCGGCCCACACATTCGAGCAGGGCATGGCTGTTCGAGAGGGCATGGTGGCCCCGTTTGGAAGCACAGAATCCCCAAAACGGCTGAAAATCGTTCCGCATCGCGGACACAAGGCATAGCAAGGTTAGGATTTCTCCTTTGGCTGAACGGAAGGCTGGCAGCCAGGTGAGGACCTATGTCTTCCTTGAAGCTCCAGGGCCGATCAATCAAAGTTCCATCTGTTTCTTGATTGAATGGGGATCCCTATGTTCAAGTATGTTCGAGTCATCCAAGTGTTCCAAGTATGTGTGTCTCTACCTGGTATAGCCTTCCAAGGCCCGTGCATTGTCACTTGTGCTCTTCGCCGCCTTGCCATCCGCTGATCCGCACGCAGCTATGTGGCAACGCCTTCTATTGACATCTTTGCGAACAGGCAAGCTGGGGCCACTCCAAAAGCACAACCTCACGAAGTGGCGAAAAACAGGCCATGTAAGGACCGTGCCGTCACAACTGTGTATGCCAACAGAATTCCGCAAAGCAAATGCCAACAGTCTAAGATCAGGATGTGTGGGACAGCTAAAAAAGTGTAAAACTGAATAATCAGCGCCATTCAGCGACTGTCATATCAATTCGCCAATGTGCACAAACCAGAAACTGCAACTCGATCGAACACATACAGTATATGCTTGTAGTTTATGATGTTTATGCCGTTTTTGGCCATCCACACACTCCTGGAGGGAAAAAGCAGCTAAAAGTCCCAAATATGACCAGCGCAGCCCTCACAAATCTCGATCTCGCACTCCCTGCAGTGCCAGTGAGGGACTTGAGCCCTGATTACCTTGCAGAACTCAAGACATCCTCATCCGACCGGTCCGGATATAACGCACGAGTAGAAAGAGAATGAAGCAAAAAGGTTGACCTTAAGGCACAGCCTCTCAACCCGAATCCGTCCAAAAAAGCTCTAGCAATCTCTATCTTACGTAGGACCACCGCACGGATCACCTGACCTATAGTGAGAGGCCCTTCCTCCAACCTAAGAGCGATGGCCTCCAACCTAATGGATGGCCTCCAACAAACAGATGCGAAAAGCCTGAAGAGCAAAACACCCAGGTGCTTCGCCGCAGACCTCGCAAGAGAGCACCTCCACGAGACTCGCTAGGAGAGCTTGCATCTGCCTGACGGCGCAAGGCAAGCGGACCAGGTGAGGGGATTTGCGACAGACTTGCTAGCTCATCGTCAGACCTCGTCAGACCTCTCAAAATTGATCGTTACTTGTAGCCAAGCATTCAAGCCGTCCCAGCTGCAGTTGGCACTCATGGCCATCTGGACAAATGCCGCGAGTGCCATCTTCCACCTCCACATGTTGCCGCTCCTCCAATGCAGGAGCCAGTACCCACAGATACTTCGAGGAAGGAAAATGCAAATGGAAAGCCAGCGGAAATGATCTACCGTGCCTACTTTGCCCATGTGCTCTCTCCTGGAAAAAGTTACGACGTGAAACAACCAAAAGCTTCACCATGTGCCCCACACCTGTCACCCTGCCAAAGACCTGTCACCCTGAACCAAACCCTGTCACCTGTCCTCCCCTGCCATCAGTCCATCCGGACTCGTCTTCCCCGCTGGGGTCCCTCGGTGCCCGCTTCGCCCAATGGCTCCTTCAGACTTCGGACCATGGAATCGACCCACCGAGGCACAGCGCGAACTCCCAGACCTCAGTGGCCAGTGGCATGTGATCACGTCCGCCTGAACTTGTTTATTTGGTTGGTTGGTTGGTTGGTTGGTTGGTTGGTTGGTTGGTTGGTTGGTTGGTCTGGATCTCATGACAGGGATCTTGGATGCTTGAGACTTTCCTGTGTTTGTTGTGTCATTGGTGACACCTCAACGAAATCTCACCCAAAGTGGCCACCGCCAGCAAGTCAAACAGCTTCTCGCAGGATTGTCTACGCCGCTGGTTGGGCGGCCGTGATTTGCACGGGCTGCGACACGTGCCCTTGCTGCCAGGCTTCGTTGGCTCAAGCACTGGCAAAAGGTGATGCAATTGGGGCCCAGCGTCTCATACTCCTGGACAGGGAATCTAAGCCTTCGGCCACTCAATGTTTGCAGGGCAGGCAGGCTACAATTGGGTGCGTGATTAGATGGTCTATGGATCTAGGGTCCACGTGCTCTGAAGCAGTCGTGACTCGTGACCATTGGCACCTGCACGGACCACTCGGGCGCCAATTCACGCAGGAGATCATCCACATCCTGGCCCGTCCGATGCGGCATTGGGTGTCGTGAGGCATTGCTTGCCTGCACATTTGTAGGGCATCAAGTATAGGCAATTGGCAAGGGGCTGAATCTGAAAGACCTCATAGACATGCAGAACAAATACACCCCCCATTATATAAATTACACCGCCCGGAGAGTTTCTGGCACAAGTCAGGGTTCCCGGGAGTGTTCCCAGATGCGCCATCAATGTATTTTTCCTCGCTATTTTGCACCTGTAGATGGCGCATTTATAGGGAGAGGGGGGTGCAAAAATGCAAACGCAAGAAAAAATGAGCTTGCAACAACGAGCGAAAAAACGCGCTATAGATGGCACAATGCACATCAGTGCAAAGCCATCCAAAGCAGTCCAAACACACTCAAGCCCATCGGTGCCCATCCTACTTTGTCTTTTACTATTTCTCCTGCTTTTCCTTTCTCTTTCTCTTTCTCTTTCTAGCACTCACCTGCTCTGCACATGCTGCCAGCATGTTATTTTCCCCAAATCCCAGCGTTTGATGCCAGATACAAGAGCTGCAGGAATCTGTACATTGACGGAGCTTTGTAAATGGCGGTATGAGCAGCCGGTGATGCCACACTGCAAAAACTTTCTTCTACCATCCAACATTTGGGATACAGTATTGTACTTGTGGGCTGGCTGCTTGGTTTTGTTTGCGTGGGTTCACTTTTGTTGAAAATGCAAACAAATGACATTTAAGGTCTACCAGTATATAGTGGCATTGTGCTCCTATATACTATTTACAGTATTCCAAATTCTTCCATGCCAAAAGGCCTCCTGCTTTTCCTTTCTCTTTCTCTTTCTCTTTCTTTCTCTCTCACAAGAGATTCAGCTATTGTAGTTCTACTTTCTAACTGGAGTATATAGATGGAGCGTGCCGTCAGGGGTCTCCGAGTACGAGGTTTTGAAGCCTAAATCTCGCCCTTTTTATACTGTCAGGATGCCTACTGATGGCGCAATTCTACTGTGGTACTTTGGCGCTCGTAGATGGCGCAATTTTCTTTTTTAAACCATCTATTTTCAAGACGGAGTAAGCAAATCAATTCATCTCTACACTCTGGCGCATCATTCCCGCAAACACCCAACTCCCCCTGCAGGTTGCACATCAAAGAAAAGACCGCCCAAGTCGTTCTCCTCCTTGCTGAGGGCCGTGACCCCAAGGCATAGACTTTCTCGGAATGAATGCTTTGGACAGCTGCACGGCTCACATTTTGTGATCCTCAGAAGCTGAGACTGCACCAATGACAGCACATGAGCTCTCCCACACTTCTCTTTAAAATCCTTCCGAAGTCGTGCTAGAAGACCTGAATGAAGAACCTGCCTCCCACAAATCCACAAGTTTGGGGGTTCGTGTCAACCTTACATCCACACTTGGAGACGTGATTGCAGAGGTCAGCCATAGATAGAAACATGTGGAAACAATGTCCCAAATGAAACTTTGAGTTCAACCTAAGCCCCGCTATTGCTGCGCTGCTGCAGCCATGTGCAACGTTCCCACAGCCACACCGGACCCAACCGCAGCTCAGAGGCCCACTGCCGTCAATTCCGCGTTCTACGCCTCAGGTGTGACGCTGGTGTGAGAGGTGCAATTTATCTTGGACTACGATGGTGATGGACGTCCAACTGCAATGACTTCAACATTACTGGAGCTTCTTGGAGCTATGAAGCATGAAAATGTTTTCGCAATGAAGTGTTCATTGCTCGATCTTCTGTACAACAGCGCCAACACCAAGCTGGAGAAACGCTTGAAACTGCTCTTCGTGTGCGCCCTCTTTCGTATCTATGTCTTGAACGTGGCTTGCTGATTTTCCCACCCAGCAGGAGTGATTTGGGGAATGCTTCAAAATGATGCATTGTCCTTATCCCTAGTAGTAACAAGTGCCACGCTAGTAGTAACAGGTGCCTTACTACCCCTTCTCTCGGTCACCCGGACCGGCCTCCAAAAGCATACTCCACGTCGTAGATCTGCAGCCCCACGTGAAAAGCTCCAGCACCCCAAAGGCTCCAAGAGATGTTGTTGAGAAGGCCAACGTGCCAATTAAAGAGGTCCTTGGCAATATCATGGACAACGATGGGTGGTCCTCCTCTTGGCACCATTCCAGTGTTGTTCTTTTGAAACCTGCCACACTTCACCACTCAGCTGAGAAGCTGCTTGCAGGTCCTGTCAGGTGGCATCCTTTCCTACGAGTGAACCATAAAAGTACCGGAGTACCGTGCTCAAGTGCAGCCATGGCGCGTACACGTTCAAATGTACCTTGCTCGGCTGCCCCAACACACAACATTCCTAAAGGATCTTAAATTCGGTTCTTCAGGTTTCAGTGGCCCATGGAAAGCTCATGGTTTCTCACTCCTCAAGGTGTTCACTCGAAATGACTTGAAGCGCAAACTGTCCTTCGTCACCTGGACAAAAGGATGAGCCTCAGAACTCTCAGAACTCTCAGCCGTAAAGTCCACCCAAAAAAAGTGCTATATATCATTCTTAGCTTCTCTTTTCAAGGCACGAAAGACTATTGAAGACCTGTCTCCCACCTGTCTCCCTGAAAAAACCTCAAGTCACGGCGAGCGCATGCGAGCGCCGAGGCGCAAAGGACATCTTCCTTGAAGCAATCTGCTCATCCAACCTTCCAAGAATAGTTTGAAATGAATTTGGTTCCAACATCTGCGGCCACCTGTGGTCCAATAAAACCGAACTGGCCACTGCTATTAGGACTGGTGCCGGAATCCCTTGCCCCACTCACCAGCAGGCACCTGCGTTGCTCCGAAGAATGTTCTGCAGTTTGAGAGGCAGCTGCTTCACGCAACCTACTGAAGTTGTCTTACCTCCTCAAGCCTCGCCAAGAAAGACGAAGAAGTGGTCGGTTGGTGGTGGTCACTTGCGCGCCCTGCCCAGCCCCCGACCGCCCCCCTGACCGCCCGGCCTGCGGATGCCGTCTCGCAAAGCTTTCAACAAGCAGACGTTGAATTTTGCATCACTCCCTCGCAGGATCACCTGCGATCATCGGATATCTGTGGACACGGTGTCGGATGACTGAAATAGGCCCACAGTCGTCAAAAGGACTGGCAGCAACAAAGAAAAGTGAGAAATTGACACTGGGTGACTGGGTTCTATCATGTTGTTTTTGGAAGGCTGATAGGGCTTCATTCTGTGCTTGCGAATCACTGGCGGCTAGTGGATAACAGAACCCTGCTTTGACAGTAAACATGCGGCTCATGGCCAGCTCTTCAGACACTAAGAGGGCCCATGCTGCCAGAGAGCCGTTGCTTGGCATATATTGTAGCATGGTAGGACCATGTCATTAGTTAAAATTCAGGAAACAGTACTGTATGTCACAGCTCCGGCAAGCAAGTTCATAAGCTAACTCAACAGCCTCAACAGCAGCACCCGGTCCACCCCAAGACCGTGACAACCCTTGACATAGGAGCAAACCATTTGCCTCCTGAAGTTCAGTTCAACATGAAAGTGAATCGAGTCACACGAGCCCACTTCAGCCACAAACTCTAGCCCTTTCCCCACTGCCTTTTCTATGCTTTGCTCTTCTGCATTTTGAGTGAGGTAGGCCTGGGGCTACTTTCATGCCCCATTCGTTCTATCAACGACGTGCAAGGCATCTGGATGGCTCAACAGCGAGGGCGGCGAGGGCATGGATGCCTGGTGGCCGGGTCAAGGTCAAGATGATCGATGTAGCATTGGATGGCTCCCGCCTCCGCCGTATTCAGCCACATCTTGCAGTTCTTGTTTAGCAGCTCTGGCTCTGGCCATGAGGCATCCTCAATTCCTTTGGGTGCCTGCTTGAGCATGTTCAGCTGCAGGATTCTGAGGTTGTCTTGGATCAAGTGGTCCAGACTTGCACAACTCATAGATCCAAAATGCCTCTCCAGCTTCCTCCACCCGCCGCGCCATCTCACTGTACCCCGCCTCACGCATGCAGGACAAGAACTCCGGCACGCCTGCACGGCGGTCCTCAGGGGCCACCAGGATCATCAAACCCTTGGGCTTCAACACCTGCAAGGCACAGGATGCCAGCGCACCTCCAAAATGCCCAAAGACTGTGTCAGAGCTGATGACCAAATCACCCTGCTCTGAATGGTCCCAAGTTGCAGCATCTTGCCATCGCAAAAGCCTCACCCGGACCTGGTCTGAGCCAGAATTCGCCACATTGTGCTCCAGGTTTTGGAGCGTCTCATCATCACCATCTGTCAACACCACCTGCTTTGCACCGATGGCTGCAGCTGCCAGGCCGGCCAAGCCGCATCCAGCACCCAAATCCACAACGCAACGGCCTTGGACCAAGTGGGGCTGCTCCAACAGCAGCCGGGCCAAGACAGTGCCGGAAGGCCAGTGCTGATTGCCCGTGGATCCATGAACACCATCTGCCATGGGCAACTCCCGCACCCTCATGGTCAGGTTTGTCTCACCATAAGGCAAAAGCACCTCCTCATAGAAAGCCATGGCGGCACCCGAAGGCCCTTTGGACCAGGCGAAGGCCGTTTTCACATGTTTTCACATGTCCAGCTGCGGTTTACGTAGCTTGTGTGAGTGCCTTGTCAAGACAAAATGACTGGAGCTATGGACATGATATGCTTTCACTCATAGGCTTTTGGCCCGAATCACCTGAATGCACCGGAGGTACCAACATGTCAAACAGCTCGAAAACAAAACTTCCCACATGTGTAGGCTAGGTTTTGGCTTGCTTTCGGAGATGAGGTTGACGACGACCCATACAGCCTCTTGGTCCTTGTCCGAGATCACGACATTGAAGTCCTTGACTGCCGCAACCTCATGAGCATGTACCACGGGCTAAGTTTCAGCAAGTCTTCACGGACGCTTTGCTTGCAAGTCTTGTGCAATGGTGCCTTGATGGCACCATATTGAACCCCAATGAGCTTTTGATGATGTGGCATCATGTGCTAGGACATGTGGCGCTGTTTTTTTGGATGGACTTGGCTCCACCGTGCTCCACCCTCTCAAAAAGGCCATCTGGGCAGCCGCTCGAGTGCAGGACTCAGCCAAACTTCGAAAGACTCCTCAACGCTTCGCTTCGGGACTCCGAAAACGAACATGAACATGACGTCAGTTGCATCGGCGAATTCTTTGAGCTTCTTGAGCACAAGAATCTACTAGTAACAAGGCACCTTACTACTAGTAACAAGGACGCTACAAACGTAACAAGAAGTTGTGGCCTGGGTGTGGTCTTCCCGAGCCCCTGCCATCTCGCCTCGTCGCGCTTATCTTCCACTAGCCGCACCAGCAATCCTGGGATGTTTGGCACTCGGCACAGGGACAAATACAGCCTCCAAGCTGCAGCATATTCGTAACCACAATACTTGAATCGAGCCTGGAATGACATATATAATCATATAGTTGAGAAAATGATTCATCAATCCTGGATGTTAGTTTCACGGAGAGCGTGCACTCTCACACAAATGCCCATGTCACAGCCTAGGCAGCCGCACGATCCCAAAAAATTGTGATCTCGCACGGGAGCCAAACAGGCCACAAATCTCCGTGCTTCACTTGGCCCTGACAGGGGAGGTGGTGGCCATTGGTGCATTGGGAACCCCCAAATTCGATGCTGAGCCCATGCTCTGCATGAAAAGATCGGTTCTGGGCGAAACGAAACTGCACTTGACCCAGTAGCTGGACTCAAGCAACAACAGTTAAAAGGGGCTGTCAAAGCACAAAACTGGAAGATTGGCAAATCTAGAATTTGATAAGCAAAGGCCGCGCGGTCCAAGAGGTTCACTTAGTAATTGATTACAGTCATGCTGACTTGAGATGTTAAAAGCATGAAACACTTGTGAACCCACCCCAGTGCAAACTGGCCGTTTATATCTGCTGATGAGCCTGGAATTGCTCCATGGGCTTGCGTATCGGCTCTGGTAGCGGCACATGCCGTAGCGCTGGTGTCGGCAAAGGTGTCGGTACAGCCTTCGGCTCCCTCGCCTGCAGGGATGGCCGCTCCAGGCTAAGTTCGTTTGAAGGTTGACTCATGAGGGACCCCATCTGTAAGGAGGTTGCAGAACTGTGTAACATGTCAGTGCTGTTTGTTGTGTCATCGCTGTTGGGCCTGAAGGCGGAACGTCCGCAGAAAGTTCTCCCCAAAACAGATCAAAACAGCATGGAGAAGTGGCGGTTCCCACCTCGGCCTTGGAAGCCTTGGACGGTCGGAGAAGTGGCTGGAGCCAGGTTCCCACTGAAGGCAACAAAGCAAAGCTCTTCTCAGAGCCTCAAGCGCTGAGCCCAGTGATCGAAATCGCTGTCAATGGGCCGATGGGTGGCTGGGCTGTTCTTGTTTATCGCCAAGCCTCGGAAGCTGCTCGTGCGTCGCCGAGGGCTGCTCCGTACCGGTGGGAGACGTTCCTGAAAACAGGAGTGATACAGGCAAGCCATGGAACCCTAGGTCCTCCACATCGGGATGGGTCAAAAGCTTGGGTGGCCCTTTGACTGATAGCATCCATCTGCAAACTGCTCCTCTTTTTTGTGTTAAAGCAACTGGCCAAATGGGAGAGCTTGACCTACGCGTACATTCGAGGAACAGCCAAGCAAGCAAATAGCACACTGGTCCAGGAAACCTGTCTGACACCTCATTTATTGGTTGATGCTACAACTCCTATGCTATAACATGTACCTTTTGTCGCTCTTCGGGAAATCGGTGGCACTTCACGTGTGCTAATGCATACCCTCTGCAGGACGCAACAAGGGGCAAAAGAGAAAACGACGGCAACGACGAGAAGAAGAAGAAGAAGAAGAAAAAGAATAAAAAAATAGTAATATGAAGAAGAAGAAGAAGAACAACAACAAAAGAAACCACCTCCTTTTTTCACCAAGCATGGCCAAGCAGCTTCTGATACCTCTAACGGCCAGGACCAGTCATCATCAGAAGTCGATCGGCCCCATCCTCCAGGGCTTCGGGATCGACCACAAACATGCACCACTCCAAGTGGCTTTAATATATGTCCCCAACGTGCTAGGGACTTGGGGTCGCTCACAACCATTGCATGATATGGCCATGCAAAATCCGCGTGGAGTGAAACATGCTGAAAGTGAAACCCTTCTGGCCAAGGCGGAGAACAAATGACTAACACAACGAACTCTCCGGAGTGGACAAATCAAGTTTTGCGGTTCGGCTTCTTGACGGGGCTTTTACAGATCATCTGCGGATTGAATCTGAGAGATTTGGGGAGCACATGTCGGAATCAGATTTCATGTGAGCTGCTCATCGTATTTTTCTCATGCCTTTCTTGCAGAAATAGCAGGTCCTGTCGCTGGGGTCACTGCCTCGGGCCTCAAAGAAACGCCAGAAAATATCACCCGGCAACAGTTTTGGCGGGAACATCACGGCCGAAATATATCAAGCTCTGCGAAATGATGATTCATTGCCTTTCACGCAAGCCTGGAGAAAAAGAACACCTCTAGCCTCAATATTTGACTTGCAAGTCATTCTTGCCAAGGGACAGCAACTCAACCCTTGGGGCTGCCCGTGCAATGCAGCAATCCATGCAGCTGTATCAGCTGTGGCTCAGGCTTGGCATGTGCGACGGGACATGGACCATGTGCTGGCTAGGGGATCTATAGGGCACTCTCGACACTCTCAAGTCTATGTGCTTTTACTCTCTCTCTCTCTCTCATCTGAAGGCCCTCTCTGGCAGTGCATGCATGCGACATGACATGCCAAGCAGAACCATGTTTTACCAGGTTTACCAGCTCATGAAGGATCTCGAGTAAGAGATTCCAATAGTCCAGCAAGAATCTTGGAGCAAACCTTTTTTTTGGCCTGAAGCGCCATGTGTCGGTGGTTGCAAAACAGTCACCTTGATGCAAGTTGTTCATGCGTTCATGGCTCGGAAAAAAACTGAGCAAAAAGTGGCTTTGCGCCGTGCACTTGCGCAAAGCCAGGTGTGTTCTCAAGCAATTTCTGAAAGATCAAGCCAGTGTGATGGACACACTCTGCTAAGGGTGCCAAATCCCGGCTGCGCATGCACAGAACTGCATCAACACAATACTATTACACGCCTACAAGGGTCCCTCCAAGCTGGACAAAGGTACACAAGCTTTATGGCTGCAAGCTGGACCTGCACCTGGGCTGAACCATCAGAAAAAGACAAAAAGCTAAACACAAAGTATCCATTTTGGGATGTCCCAAAATGATTGCAAACTTTTTTATTACAGGTGACATGCGGCTTCCAGGTCTTCAAAAAGCTTGTTTCGCGAGCAGGGCCACCTTTCAACACTTGCAACGCCTTCTGCGCAACGCAAAGGGCAGCGGTATCATCAGCTCTCGACAGCAAGCTTCCCTGCACAGCGGAGGGGCAAATGAAAGTACGGTGTAAATTATATAAACATATAACAATACATAATATATATATACATATATTATACGTAATATAAACTATGAAATGATCGAATGAGGTGATGGAAACAACGGAGAATCATGGCTGGTCCAAGAATTCGCCAAACGACTGGCTGGCGCTTGGGTGAATGAAATAATGTCCCTCAGGGGGCTTTCCGGGAAAGCCTTAGGCCATCCGGATGCATCCGGAAAACAAGGTTCCTCCGAAGAAACCCAGAACCGGTGGAGGCCATGAGTGCAAACAGTTTGGCAGAAGGAACATGCAACCTGGATCCACCTGGCATACCTGGCTGGCAATCTTACATTCGTTGCATTGCTTCAATGCCGTGCTCTGCCATTCTTTGCCATGCTCGGCCTTCTGAATGCCAAGAGCCGCTTGAACGCATTTGGTTCTTGCGGAGCGCAGGCCAAGCAACAACCTTGTGATCATGAGCGGCCTGAGCACCTCGCCGAAAGCCTCACCCTATTCACGCATGGTCCCTCTGTGGCTCTGTTTGCTCGAAGGATCTTCTTAGAACCGAAAGCCCGAAAGCAAAGGCATCTAGATATAAAGAACATGATAAAACTAATTGCACCAGGTGAAACTGTGTTCTCCGGCTGCGGCAGCGGCGGGAGTCGGCAGCAGCAGCACAAGCAGCATGGAAAGCTTTTTCTAAACACGTTCTATGAAGCTTCTTGTTTCTACGTTCGCTTCTTGTTACTACTAGCAAGGCACTTGTTACTAGTAGCCATGCACTTGTTACTACGTTCGCGTCATTGATCGTCTGAAGCTAGGTGTTCCGACAGTTCGGGCTTCCCCATGAGATCAGCACGCTTCTCACCTGCTGCCACACGGAGCTCATCAACCTTATTTGGCTGAGCAGGGGGAGGTGAACGGGAACCCGACATGAGCTTCCATGTTGAGCAACATGCTCAAACACCACAAGAGGCTGTAGATCAATGGTGTTTCTAGCCTGGATGTCATAATTTGGCTTCTGCCCAGTGCCTGGAGTCTGGAAAAGAGACTGTCGCAGAATATGAGTGCCTGAAAATATTCTTAACTCAGACCGACAATCTGGCCATTTTGCACTTTGATCATTTTGGAGTTGCCGAAGATCAAAAAGAATCGACCGACATCGAAGCCACAAATCTTGATATTGGTGTTTAACATTTTAGGAAGCACGGCTTGGGAACCTTTTCTGTCCTAGTTTAATTTCACATGCAATACCACTTATACTGTAACTCTTTTTACCGTGATTATGGCGAGTTCACAACTGGTCTTGCCTTGGTCATGGAATGTCATGGATGTCTTACAGTGTATGGACTTCGGAATGGTTTGGAATGTGGCATTCCTGGATCTTGATCAACAACATCAATGGATAATGCAGATCATAACGCTACTCAAGACTCCCATAAAATGCCACGTAAATGATCCTCGGAAGCATCCCATCCCCGCCCCCACAAGCGCCAGGGACCCCAGACTCCGTCGGATACGAAAGCCACCACCTGCGGCGTTCGTGACTCGCTTCTCCTATTCTCCTCGAACCCAAGTGGTGAAGATTGGAATTGGGACTTCGGCCATGCACAACTAGAAGACCTCCCAACATCGGCGTCCCAGGGGGGACACCGAAAGGACACCGAAAAGCGCGGAGGACCGACCCCCCGAAACGACGAACGACGACTGGCCGCTCCGACCTCGACGTCGAAACGGTGCAGGTCCACCTGCGCGGGTCTCCGAGCCCAGGAGGAAACGGTCGCAGTTCAAGGGAAGTCTCACTCCCCCCCATGGAGCATGGCCTATTTTGCAATCGACGACCCATCTGCATGTAGACCAGTGAGCAATAGGATGCAATGGGTGAGATCTATATGGAAGGAAGCAAGCGCGAGTTTGATCAGCGCATTTGACTGCATCAATATCAATATCATCACATGCGGGCTGAGCACAGCTGGACATCTACCTTTTTCCTTTGAAACTGGAGCTGCTTTGCCTGGAGAATTGAGGATCAATTCTCAGGCTACGAGCCGGAACCATGGAAACAACCACCAGGAGAGAAACGACGACCTTGTGGTGTGCGGAGCGTGCGGAGCACCGAAGGAATTCCCTGAAGAAGCGACATGTCAACAACGAGTCTGAACCTCATTTTCGTACCCCTCCAGAGCTTGAGGCCCTTGCTTGTTCTGACACACGCATCTTCAGGGAGCACCCAGGCAACCCTGCCACCATTTAAAAAGAAACCAGCCACCACCCCTGGGTGGCCTGAGGCATCTAGATTAGATCCAAAACTCACCGCACCAAGGCTACGGCTACGGGTTGAGCGTGAGCAATAGCCACAGGTTCTCGTCAAGCGCATGTGGCAGCAAAACCGACGCTCTCAGAAAGACCTCACAAGAGCATGGAGCGAAGCCAGTCACAAAAGCATATTGACTGCACATCAAAGGATGGAGGAGGGGCATTTCAATCGGGGTGAAGTCTGATGTGGTGTTCCGACAGTCCAGTCCATCTGTCCAACAAAAAATAAACACAAACACGTGTTGATCAAAAGCCTCACCTAATAAAGGATCAAGCGAACCAATCTGTCACCTTCTTAAAACAGAAACCACCCTGCGTCAGAAACAAACACGACCAAAGCGCAACACACTTGTGGGTCATAGGGTGCTTGATCACATACGTGTCCAAAACAATAGAAGGAAACAGGAGCCATGCTGTTGGTCCAGTCTGAAGGCTTGGGCTATGACGGTCGAGAAGACCAGCGCTGGCAAAGCAAGCATCAGCATGCTTCGCAGTTCCAAACTGATGACCCGCCTGCGATCGATCAAGTGCAGTCGATGTTGAAGTGTAGGCTGCAAAATGACCTGTAAGGATGTAGCCCGTGGACATCCGTGGGCCATAGGCCTTCTTGACTCTGTTCCTACGCGAAATGATGTGACACAAGAAACAGGCAAGGGCTTGTGGTGGCCTTTGCACTTGCAGGTGCCCATCGTTCTTAGCTATCCAAGTCTGGGAGAGCTGTTAGTTGGTTCGTGTTTCTCTTGGAGAGACTTCTCTCTTGAAAAGAAAGGCGCAAAAGAGGCCCTGCACATGTCCAGCGCCTCTCACCCAAAGACAGGACCAGCGTGACCATGGCACCTGAGAGAAGCTGGAGTTTGCAAACCCGGCTGTTAAAACGATCCGCTTCGCATATCTCGCTCAGCTTCCACCGTTTGGACACCTCCTTCCACGTGTGGACATACGGCGGGTCACAATATCCTGACCCTGGAGACTGACTAGAAAGTCATGGCCCCAACCCCGTGACACATGCCCCACCCAATAAAAACAAAATATACAGAAGTGACATAAGCATTCATCCGCCAGAATGTTGTGGGAGATACTTTGCCTGCACAAGTCAACCTGGGCCACTGCCGTGCCATTTTTTGAAAACACGTGTCAAGTGTGCAGCCAAGGAGCAAGCCCATGCGATAGCAAAGTTGCCAGAGAAGAAGAACCTGTACAAAGCAACTTGATCATCTTGATCCACGGTTTCGTCCCTCATGGCCTCGTCAATATTACATTGTTTGGCCCATTGATTTGTCATCGATTTGTCTCGGCCACGCCGACAAATCCCAGAAAATAACTACAGTACTCGACAGGCGTCAGAATGATAGGTTTAATGGCGCTTTCTGCAGCCAAGCCACTCTGGCCATGCAGCATATTGGCTGCAAAGGTTTTCCCACCAGACCTGGACAAACGGTACAGGATTGCCTACCAAAGAGGTAGTTCTGTCCAGTCCTCATCCGTTCTCAGATGGATTATTCCACCCATCTTCAGCATGAAGTCTGTCAGATGAGTTCTTCAGCTTCACATACGTTCTGATGACTTTTTAGCGACGTCGCTGCGCCTAGTGACCTAATGAGCCAAACCTAACCAACTAGCACGGTCTACTGGGCAAGTGCTTCCGCCCGTAAGGCCTGACTGCTGCCACCAGCCAAGTGCAACGATACCTCAGCGAAGCTTGAGAAGCTATGAACAGTTGCCTGTATGATGATGCATCGCGAATAAATTTGTGAACCCATCCTCAACTTGAAAATACTTAAAACCACAGAGCAACAGGGTAGAACAATTTTAGAAAGGGTCATCATGGGCATCTGCTCTAAAGGATCATGAGGCCACGCTGCAGGCAAATTGAAGATGCCAGGCACTAGAAAGGCATCCACCCTGTGCATCTGCCCGCTGGCCACCCAGCGGTTCAGGATGTAGGCCTGAATCAAACAGCAGGTGGTAACGCTGTACAGGGAAGGTCTGCAAGGTCTGCAGTGGTTCAACGTTTCCTGTGACTAAGTTTATCAAATTATTTCATAGGTAAGGCCAGAATCCTTGATATAAAATGTCAAAAATAGAGTTAAATTGAAAAGTAAAAAATAGATCACAAAAGTCAAAAACAAGTCAAATAAAAAACAAAAAATAACAAATAAAAAAAGAAATCAACAACATTAGAAAACAACTCGGAAAGCAAAAAAACGAATAAAATCGAATAAAAGTCAAAGAAAAAGTAACAAAAACATCAAAAAATAGAAAACCACAAATAAAGAAACTGTCAGATCTAGACCAATTGATTTTTTTTGACTTTCTGAAACTTTCTGATTTGCCTGTTTGTTGACTTTGACTTCTGGGGCTGACTACTAAGTTGACTTGTGTTTTGACTTGTTTTAGATTTTGAAAACAGGCTCTCTGCAATGCAGTTGGCTGTTGTCGAGCGGTTGGCTTTTCAATGCTTTTCATGGTGTTCTTTCAAGCCCTCTCCATGTGGAACCGTCCACGTGCAGTCAAGAAATCAAACCCCGTGCGGCGCTTGGTAACAGACCTGGTGACACACCAGCGTCATGGTGATAAATCCGACGATGGGGTCCTGGGCTTGGTGTCCACCCGGGGAACCAGCGCTTTTTCTGGTGTTTCAAAGGAGCCCAGATGGAAACAAAATACCAAAAAAAAACTTCTTCAGCACGTGTCAAGAAGCGAAAAGCGCCAACTCAGGCATGACAGCGCGCAGAGTTTGATATGCCAGCACCTGCAGTTTGACGACCCACAGCTTGATCCACGTTTCTACGAACAAAACACCGGGGTGTTAGAAAAAAATATCATACACAAAGCCTATAGGGCGGCCCCACCATTCGAATTCCGAATTCAAGGAGCTACGCGACGAACGGTATACGACACCCTGACACCATGGCATGTCTCCCTCTCCCTCTCTCTCTCTCTCTGCAGAGTTGCGCCCGTCGCGGCTGTCAGTTATGCGTTCTTCTGTGCTCGAATGGCACAACCTCTCATAAGGGCTCCAGGCCAAATAGAAGCCCGCGGCGTTCCTGAGGAGCAAACTGATCTTGAGCCAAGCAGGTTCTTAGAATGACTCACATCCAGCACATGTTGGACCTCACAGCTTTGTCATCAGAGTTCCCAAGAGCATCAAGCGATGCATTCACCCATCCACCACACATCCACATTCTGCAAAGAAAGGAATCTAAATAGTCCAATTCGTCATCATCACCACGGAAAACCATATATACTAGGGGAAGATGAGATAGGAAATTGTGGGCATTGCAGAATGTACGAAAAGCAGATGAGATAGGACTAGAAAATAGCCACAAATTGGATCGAACACATGAGATAGGGGATATTATACTACTCTTTCTTGGCCTAACTCATTCGTCCAAAGCCTGAGACTTTACCTAGACAACTCCTCCCAATCTGGCAATGGTGTGTCCCGTTTCCGGTTTCCAACCCGTGACCCCATCATGAGAAAATTCTTTGTCCTTCAAATGCCCTGCTCTACCAATTCCAAAGCCGACACGAAACCGTATCTGCCGGGACGTGCTTAGGCCAAATCTGAGATAGGCCCTCATGAGATAGGACCTTATGGGCCTCCTTCATGTGGTTTGGACACATGAGATACGTGTCCTTTTGGTCCAAAACTGTCCCATCAGAATGCAGCCGCGGACACGAGAGATGGGAAAATGTATTTCCGCATGTATGTTTCACTGTTTCACTACTCCCAACTCATCTCCGGGTAGTATGCCATATGCATATTCCATCATGTTCCCCATCCCCGTTTCACTCAATTGCTCGAGCTTCAGGAAGCCACCACTCTTCACATCTCCCTGGCGTCCAAAGCCCAAGAGCTTCGACAGTTCCCTTCGCCTCGGCATGTGATGCAGCTCCAATTCCCCTCGCCACACCCCAAGGGCAGGGAATCCCCACCCCAAGTGATGTAAAATGATACAGACCCCGGCTTGAGGCACCGTTCATTGTTTTGGCATGTGCATTTGCAGCGGTTTCGAAGCGAAACCTGAGGCACTCAAGACTCGACCATCAACGCGTCATGAATTTTGCTCCACAGGGTGATGCTGTGCCCATCGAGCGTCATTTCTGGTTTAGATACTCCCCAGCTCGCTTGTTAAGCTATGTCCCACTTGCAGCCCATGTGCCTATAGAGCTCTGCACATATGTCTTGTCACTGGTGTTGCTGCTTTGCTGTCAGCAATTGATGCAGTCCCTGGCGTTTCTTTCCTGTTTCAAGACGTGGGCTCCTCGTTGATTCTAGCCGGATTCGGTCCTCGACTCAATCCCCATGCGGACGGTGGGGAGACACGCTGACTTACGACACTTGGAGTCAGCCAAGATGCTTGGCAGTTCTAGATGTTTCGTTCAATCTAGATCTTTCTGCCCGGCTCCTACTTGATCAAGTGGCTTCCAGTAGCTGGACGCAGGATAGCTCACGCTTCTAATGATTTGGTTCCCAGATTCTTTGGAAAACATACGGCTTTTGCATTTAGAGAACCCGTGGGGAAGCGACTGGGGTTTGCAAGCAATATCAAGCAATGCAAAGCAGCTTGTGAAAGACATGGTCTACAAGTGTTGATGTTCGGAGCCCTGAGGAAGGCACGGTCCCAGCAGACTTGGTTGAAGACCGCTCAAGGCATTCAAGACACCGAAAAAGAGCGCGAGGTAGTGCACCTGGCCAGTTCCACATGTGAAGTGGACACACATCAATACTGGAGGTGAAAAACTGCAAGATTCGCAGGATCTCTGGGGATCCCTGGTCCTTGCTGCTCATGGACTTGAAGATCTCCATGTTTCGCTTACTTTCCCCAGCAAACTTGTAGAGCGCAGGGGTGAAACGGACCGCGGGGCTGCTCCGCTGTCTGCAGTCAAAAGTTCCACTAGCTACATAGCTCGTCCTTGCATTGCATAGTAGTTAACGGTTAGTAACCGTCGTTCCTGAGAAAACGATCTTGGCGCCAGCAGCTCCGCAGCTTCTATCGGACTTTGAAACCATCCTATTAGGTTGTCCTTGCTGTGGACAGGGCCACGGCATTAAAAGGAACACTGGGTGAAATAATTGTTGAAACTGCACCCCAAAATCAGAAAAGCTGCCACACGGTGGGGTCAAGCGAAAAGCCTTCTCCCTAAGTTGCAGGAGCTCCTCCCAGCAGCTTGGAGTGACGGGAAAAGAACAAGCCTGTTGCATCATGCGCATGAGATCATTCACTTGAGCGTGCTGTGAGGCGGAAGAAGCTACCTGGGACGTAGCCAGAGGACAACAAGAGTTCGGTATCCACCAATGGTCGCACTTCCAATGGCAGGACCAGGCTCAGCACTGCTGAGGCAGTGTCTAAGCCAAAATCTTCGCACACTTGGTCCTTCACGAGACCGGCGGTCGTCCATGAGGACACAGACATAGCGATGTTCTCCTGACCATACTGAACCATAATCTCCGCACTTTCGCCAGTCACCAAGGTGACCAAGAGTGGTTCGGAGAAGGTCCAGTAGTTGTACAAGGGTTGCCGATCGTCCAAGACGCAGATCCCCGCCAGGAGCGACATCTCGGGATCTTCAAAGGCCCCTTCGACCAATCCCCGGCGCCAGCGCTTGATCTGCTCTCGCAAGGCCTTCACCGGCGCTTCCCAGGGCAAGCGGGCGATGCCCACTTGTCGTCCCGAGAGGTTCCGCACATCCACCAGGACGGACTCGTCGCTCATGGCGGGTCAAGGCGGGACGCCTAGGTATGAACAAGTGCGAGGAGAAAAAACAAAAAAAAAACATGACATGGAGCTGTTTTTGAGTGTGCTGTTGCATGGTGAAGAATCGTGGGGAGCCCTATGGTTTTTTTTCGCGGTTCTGCATCGATGGGGCACTTGTTTGGAGGTTTGTGTGTCTCATGTCTCATTGACCCCCTACCTCTGCATAAACTTAAGAAACACTCCGTGGCGGCTCCGAATACTGCACAGGCTGACCTCAAACCAGCGGCAGGATGCATTTCAGGATGGGTTTGGCTTCACAGCTGGGTGCCAAGTCGAAACAACAAATTCAGCCTCTCCAAGTTGATCTTGGAGATGAACCTCTATGAATCTGCACATTGCACATGCCATTCTTAAACCAACTGTTTGCTAGCTGCTAGTCATGGACAGGAGTGCCTTGTTTCCACATCCGCACAACCACCCATGGATAATTGTGTTCAATATGTGTTCAATGTGTTTAAGGTGCGCCTCAAGTGGAAGGGAAGGAGCCTCAGCAGTCCACGAAGTCCACAGGTTCCAAGCAGCAGAAAGCAATTTTAAGGCGGGCTTGGCAACTATGTCTGTCACCGCCCGGTCTTGATGGTGTGTCCACCCCTTTAATTAGACAGATCAATACGTATCATATCCCTTTGCAACTTTCGCGGTGCCCGCATCATCCAGCAAAATTCGTTACAAGTAAGAGATTGTCATTCGCTACCATTTCAGGTTGAGCTTCATGCTACGCAGCATTGACGAGGGATGTGATCATTACTTTACTTGGCCGTCACGCAAGCAATCCCTGAATTTAGCATGGGTCCAGTGATGATTGTCCTGTGAATCCGCATGGAGCTACCCTTGTAGCTTCCATGTTGCATCAAATGTTCTTTGTCTGAGAGGCTTCAAAAGCAAACAAGCTAAGGCTCAAGCCCAGCTACTACCGTTGAGAGTCATCACATCACTCACGGCAGTGTCCAGTAGCGCAGCACCACCTAACAGGAGTCCATTGACCAACAGTGCAACGATGTGCAACGTGGCTTTGCGACAAATGTGGCTTGAGAAAGAGGCATATCACCACATAGACAGACAAGTTCATTGCTCAGAACTGGACAAATCATGCAAGTACATCACATTTGCGCAACATCTACTCATTTGAAGGAAATCATTCCAGAGCATGAAAAAGAATCACCTCATCTCTCCAGCAAGTTCCCTGACCAGCCTAGGGCCATGTAAGCTCCGCCTGATATGGCATGCACCTTGCAGCTTGGTCCGACTGCGACTGGACGGCAGCATCGGAAACAAGGCCGGACACAGTATTGCGCGCCACCCTCCCGTGGCTTCTACATGCGAGAAAAATGATGTGACAAACACCAGGAAAAAACGCCCTCGAATGCAAATGAGTGCAAATTTCACACAAAACCCCAAGCAAAAAGAGAGAGCTCCTGGGGAGGCCACTGACCTAGCGTGCACTGGCCTAGCTCCTGAAAAAGGCCACTGAAGCACGAGCCTGCTTTTTCGGGTGTTGGCTCATCCTGCAGGCCACATTGGGGCGCCATCAGGTTAACATTGCCCATCGAGCAGGCTGGACGGCCATCAACAAAGGCAGTGTTGGCACCTGTGCGCCTGAGATGTGGCACAGTATTCCTGAAGGTGAATGGTCCCGCCTGAAAGTGCTGCATGTGCCCAAGAAGCTGCTGCGTGTGACTGGGGATGATCAAAGGGCTTGGTTCCAGCATCAAGAGGCTATGCAGTGTGCCCTCACCAGGGCACATCGGGAGGCGCCGCAAGAGCTTGAGCTCCAGCTCCAAGAGGATGACAAGTGGTACCAGGCAGTGTATGAGGCAGCAGCGCAACGGGTTGGCACCCTTCTCACTGACCCTGAGCATTACATGAATGGGCAGGTGGAGCCAGCAGTGGAGACCTACAAGGTGAAGCCTGAGCGGCCGCGTGGGCGCTTGGATGTGCTACGAAGGCTGAGCCAACAAGCCAATGGCCCTGGAGAACACCAATGGAATCTGAAGGGCCAAGGGCTGACCTGCTTGTTGTGTGGCCTTCACATCAAGAGCTGCTCCACGCATGCTGAGATTGAGGCTAAGGAGGCCACGGTCTGCCCAGGAGAGAAGGTCAAGACGTTGACTAGCATCATGGAGGACATGATCAGTGCTTCGTCCCTGCAGCCTGACCACCAGCCAGGGCACCGTTGGTATCTCCGTGCCAGTTCCTTTGGTTGCAGCCGCTGTTGGATCAAGGTTGCTCGAAGATGTGGAAAAGAGACGCTCCACAAGCTGGCCAATGAGCCTTGCCAATATGAGGCAGTGGCAGAGCAGGACCTCAATCTGCGCATGAGAGTGCACACCCAGCACCAGCTGATGAAGAGGGGCCAGTGGCTTGAATGCCAAAAGTGCTTCAAAGTCTCAAAGATTGCGGATGGCAAGGTGCAATCCTGGATGGCACACGAATGCCTTGGAGCGGCCAAGCAGACAAAGTTGGCCTTTGCACCCAGCTCAAGCAGCTAGGAAGTGGTGCGCTATGAATGTCAGGCAACCCTGGAAGATCTGGAAGGGTGTTTTTCCATGCCTGGTTGGCCTTGGAGTGGCAGACTGGCCATGGTTGCAAATTTCCCCGGTCCAAGGAGAAGGAGCCTTGTCGGGACCCACTTTTCCCAGAGGGTGCGGGAGTTGAGGAAGCAGACATAAAAGAACCGAGCAAAAAAAAAAAAAGGGAGAGGGAGAGGGAGAGGGAGAGAGGAAAAGGATTGTCCGGTCCCAGCAACTGAAGCTTGGCACTGAACCTGAGATTCCCTGCATGAGCCAAGTCAGCGGGCGTCCACATTCGCTGAAGGGATTGAAGTTTCCAAACCTTCTGCCAGGCTTCCACCTTGCCCGGCGCAGGAACGACTGTGGCAACACCAAAGTCGGGTCGTTCGCTGGCAAAATGGTGGCCTGGTCGGTGTTTGTTTTGACCCATCCCCAAAACCACCAAGCTCTCTGTCGGATGATCTCTTCAACTCTCAAGCTACGCCGTCGGATGATCGCGCCTGTGGCTCAGTGATCTCTGGGCCGCCAATCGCAGCGCCCTCCGCCTCCGTTTGACCAATGGTCATGGCTCGGTCATGGGTGATCAAAGCCCATTCAACTGAACATCAAAACAGGTTCAAAGGCAACTCCCAATCTTCTTGCCAGCTTCCTGCCATCATGTTGAGACATGTTCTACCTATGAGAATTGGCTCCAGGTGACTCGAAGTGCGTCACCTGCTCTGCCACAGGCCGGCAACGATGTGCCCAGTGCTCCTGACAAACACGTAGCTGACAAAACCTATCTGCGTGGGGATTGGTCCCTGCAAGCAGCACGGTGACAAACAAAGGATTGAACAATTCAAGCTTCTGTGCACTATACTGACGATGTGGACTTCAGGTCCTTGTCAGTGCATCTTACGTGCCATATATCACACCTCCCAGAACTTCTACCGAAACAAAAACCTCAGGTGGCAAAAACAACTGCGGAGTTAAACGCAATGGATCTATTCATATATATATATATATATATATGTGTGTGTGTGTGTGTAAACATATGCATATATACACACTAGAATCAGCAAGCTCCTTTCAGTCAATGACGAATGTAAACTAAACGTACTGTTGACTGTGACTGGCGTGAGGTCCTGAATCTCGGCCGTGGTCAAGTCGGCCCTCTCGAGACACTTCTCCAATTCCTGCGCGCAAGAACTTGAAACCTACCAAGGTTCGAGACTCAATGCAGGACGGTGCTACAGTTCTTTTTTTGGGAAGTGAAGGGCCCACATCTTGGTGGAAGCGTCCCATTCCGGTCTATTCCGGTCATATCAAGCTCATCATCCTTTGAGTCAAGTGCCTCTCACCGAGTTTCACTCCTCTGCCCATCCTGGCCTGGTAGGTGTAGACCTTGCCATCCCATGGGTTGAATCGGCGCCTCGCGAAGCGAAGACACGCGAGATCGACCACCACACGAGGTGGAAGAACCTCAACAGGTGGAAAGAAGAAGCACTTTCTGGGAGGCTGTTGATCCTGAAGTTGAGGAAGTTTCTTCCTAGCCAACCAATCCCTGTTGGTTGTGACCTCCCTGTTGAGTACGTTGTTGTCCTTGGATCAGCACCAGGCCACCCCGCTCGTTGGGATTCTCAGCTGTGCTCTGCACCTCGAGTTCCGAGCGGATGGCGGTTGTGTCCAGCACGGGCGGAAGGCATCGCCGTCGTTCGGAGGAAACATCGTATTATGGCCATGCGTCGATCATTTTGCGGGGAGGTTCTATGGATTTCTATGGATTTGCTGTCACCCAGGGGTTGGCTCTGTTGGAATCGCCGCTGTGAATAGCCTCAGCTGGAAAACGCTGGGCGATCCGGCGGTCGCCCTCCGCCGCTGCTCTCGCTGCAAGCCCTGCACGGCGCGCTGCGTGAGCCTCGAGGAGCAAAGAGAACAACGAGCACGTTCAAGGAGGTCAAGGTTGCTCCTAGTAGTGATGCCCTTTGTTACTAGTAGCTTCTTGTTACTAGTAGTGATGCCAGGAGCTACTAGTGGCTTCTTGCTCCTGGAAGGCTGACTTCAAACGAACAGTCCATTATTATTTCATTGTCGTTCACCCTCACTTTCCTCCTCTCCTTTTCCCCTTTCCTTCTTTCCTGCTCTTGGGATTACACCGCCAGGCCAAGAGCAGGGGGCCCCAGATCCAAGAAGGGGCCCAGTCAGACACGGCGGCTGTAAGCGAGGGAAAGGGAAAAAGACGAAGACGAAAACCAAAAATCCACAAAGACGAAGAGATTTTTGGCAGTCATTATCACTTAAGTTGTAGCAGGTAATCGTAAGCTGTGATGTAGCTGTTGGAGTAGCCGAGACGATATAGCTGATGAAATTACTTCTGTAACTTAAGTTGTAATTGACAGGTAAGCCTTCGAATCGTAAGTCACCTAGGTCAACGTACATTAGCTTTTCTCTCAATTTGGAGATGTAAGGGGTAGGCGATGCACATTTACCAGCTTAGAAGTACTCCGCTGTTCTTTCCGGCATCGCCTTTCAGGAGACCAAAGCCCAATCCTTCAATTGGACTAACAAATGTAGTTTTCTATGATTCTATGGTTGTTGTTGAAAACTGTTTGGACGGTGGTCAGCCGCTTTGCCTGTGACATTAGGCTTCCCAACTGCAACGGTGTCCCCTCTGGCAGGACCAGCCAGTAGTCCTCCTCAACCCAACCTGTCGTCCGGGAGAACTAAAAACGTGTGAGCTCGCCCTTATTATATGCACAAGAAAGGATCCTCGTAAACGATTTACATACCTTGCCACATTCTTTTCTATAGACATCATCAGCAACACATGCCGCCACAGCCTGCGCCCCCGAAGATCTCAAGGATACCCGGTGTGGAGAGGATGCTCGCCACCTCACCATTCAACTCAGATGCTGCTTGGCCACGGAGGAAACGCCAGGCTGCATCACACTGTACTCTACAATTAAATGCTATATTACTGCAAGTGATGATTGATCTAACTTCGGTGCCACTACTTATTCACACCAGATCTGATCTATCTGTCTCCTGTTCTTTCCCTTGCTCACCCCTTTATGTGCGACACTCTCACAGAGAGGGACGGTGCTGAAGCATCCAAAAAGAAGTTTGCTTTGAAGACCATCTCTGTCACAATTTCACAAATCCCCAATCCTCTAAAGGGACAGTTTCCCATCTTCCCAAACCCCAACCTTCAAAAATGCCTTCTCATGAAGAGATTGGTCTCAGGGACCCCTCGGAGACCTTCCTTGGAATGTGCCCCGCCCCAGTGTAGAACTTCTGGGAAGATTATGGTAGTTCGCAAGCACTGAGGTGCCAGAAGGGCAGGCCTTGGGCTTGTCCATATCCAACTGGCGAAACTTGATATCCGCACTCTCCAACACTTTCCGCAGCGCGCGCTCAGAGATCCTGGCAGCACAGTACTCCTGGTGAGACCCGCCCAGTTGATGTCACTGAACGCTGGTTTCTAGTAACCTTGGGCAGTTGCATTTTGTTATCCAAAGTGGGCATCCTCTACATTCCCAAGAAGAATCTTGCGTACAAATCTTGGGGCCGAGCCTACCTTCTGGCTGAAACTCTCAAAACGCATAACCTATGATGCATTCAAGCAGGCAACGGCGCACGCAATGCACTGATCAAGCAGGCCGCTTTCTTCCATCTCTGAAAGCCTGGAGGTGGGCATAGCTTGACTCACATAACACTGATCCTCATACCCTTGACACTGTGACTGGGTGATGCAGTTTGAGGCCAATCCATGCTGCCAATCCTTGTAACAAACAAGGGTCGGATCACTCTTAAAGCACCACTTCTCAACAACTGCAGGCTAAAAGTTCTAGCCAGCCACCCCATCAGGTTCCTCTTGCAAGTCTATCTGTCGGTCTCGGACCATCCAACTCTCCAGCCTGGCGAATCCTTTGTCCATCAGCCTTTCATGCATCTCCCATTCTTTGCCCAGGGTGGCTGCCTAAAAAAGCAGCAAAGTGTTTCCGAATGTGACCCATGTGTGAAGCGCACACCTCGTGATTGGGCTGCATGTATACCATTGTGATCTAGCGTGCCTTACCTGGCCATGTCCTGGTACTTATTGAAGAATTTATCCACCTGTTGCACCTGCAAACCCACCAGATGCCCAAGCCTCTTTTGCTGTGCTTGGCTGCTGGGGCGGGCCCTGCAAGACATGCAAGAGCTCAGCAAGTAACGCATTGACACATTGACGCCATCAAACTACATGTGCGCTCACATGTATCCCAGGCAAGCCTTGTATGCGCAACACCTTGCCGACCGTCCACTTCTAAAGCCATGCCTCTAAAGGAATATTTGCGGACACCACACTGGCGGCACAGGAGGTGCGCTTGCGCCGTGACAAGGCCTCGAGGTCTTTTTCTGCATCAGTCCGTCCACTGAGTCCATTCTATCGGGGGTTTGACCTGGCAAGACATGACCTTTTGGTAAAAATTCTTGGAGGTTGAGTGAAGTTGAGTCTTGAGGTTCTTCAGCATTGCAGCACATGACACACAACCACTGTAGAATAGGCACCTAAAAGGGACAGGGGCCTTCACTGCACCATTTTGCAAGAGAGCCCGAAATGATAGAGCCCAATGCCCCTTCTTGGCATCCTCGCCACGCTGATCGCAGCAATGCCACCAGCACAGCGGCTCATCCGTTTTCCCTGTGCCAGGCTCCGGCTAGTCTTGGAAGTGGTGCATCTTCCAGAAAAACTTACAGTATGTCTATATACACGTCCTTTCCCGGCTGGCATCTCTGGTCAGCCAGAGATGAAAAAGTTGCCTCTAAGGAAGACCAAATCCGCTGACCCTGTCGGAAGTGCAAGCTCAAGTCCACCCCAAGCAAGGGGCCTCTGCTAAAGGTGATGATTGATAAGCTGGCATTGCTCCTGTCGGACCGTTGCCGTGGTGGGTCAATAGAGTTCGGTGGCCGTGGTATGGTTGGTCTCACTCGTGAGCCACTAGCCCTACCATTGGTGGTTTGCAATCAAAAAGCGGATGGAGTTGTTCAAAGAGTCAGCCGGAGTAGAGCACTAAACAGCCGTAGGAGCTTGATTGAATTGGGTGTGTATGGACCACAGAAGGCACGCCCACCACCCCTACATCTCATTTTCCGCACCCCGCAGCAAGATCAATCCAAGAACTGGGAAGCTGCAGGCTTTGCACTCGATGAACTTGCCTGCCTGAGAGTTGATTGCAGGCTTCAAGAGTTGATTGTGTTTCTGCATATGCTGTGTCGCTTAAATGCCACAAACATTAGTTCTTCTATGTTCTTGTCATACCCACCTTGTTGTGCATTTCATGAAGGAGTGAAGTGCTTCGACAGAAGTCGGAGAAAGGTTAAACACTTGCTCCACCGTGCCCTTGCTCCACCACTCGTTGTTCTTGAGCTCCCAGCCACGCTTGGATGGCGCTGAGGGAGAACGGACGATCTGCGACCCAAACATTCATCGCCTCAGCTGTTTTCAAGTCTTTGGACTTGGCCCCGGAGTAGACTGGGCACATCTGGGATCCATTTCCATCCATGTCCATCCATTTCCAAGAAAAGACCAAATAATCCTTTGCATGAGCACCCATACTCAAGCCCTTCTGGTGGAAACAATGTGCAAGAGTAGAAATTCGGTGCTGTCGGCTCAAAAGGCGCAAAGCCCGCACTAAGTCCAGTCTTCAGTCGGCCCTCTCTAGGCGTCCGCGCCAGCTTTTCACAGCTCTTTGGTGCAACGCCTTCATGGAGGACTCGCCTGAAGAGGGCGACCAGACCAATGTTGACCAGGAGCTTTCAGCACACGGCACAGTGCCGTCGGAAATCAAGTAGATCGTTTGCATGCGGAAAGCAAATGAACATCAAATTGTATACTGCGAGCTCAACTGTGCGTGCTCACGAGCAACAATGCCCACGCTCGGACAAACTTGAAGACTTTTTTTGGGGGGGTCCCCGGGGGGTCGCCAGTGGGTTCCCTGTAGTTATAATATCATATAGCAGCAAAGAAGCCAATCACAAGAAGAAAACCACCAAGCTGCTGAAAACCACCAGTGTGTTCGGCTTTTCTTCCCGCTAGGGCCGCTAGGGCTCGCGGCAGGTCTGGCTGGCCATCCTCCGTGAGGTTTCGCCAAAGCACCGCATCACCCAGGTGAGGCTGGATGTGGAGACCTTTTTCGAAAGCAAACACACTCCAAAGCAAACTCTGCACAGAACCCGTAGGATGCAAGTCAAAGGCCAGGTTGGCAAGTCCGAAAGGAATTGACTGGCAGCATGGGCCCATGGAACATGTTGGTTCGATGCGCACTTTGTCCCAAAATATCCATAGGGGCCAGTCATTCGCTCTGGGATTTGATTGCCCAAGGAAATGCAAGCCCGACCTGCGGCTTTTCCTTACTCAGGTTCACAGTGGACTTTTGGTCCACCCAATTTGATTTAGTGTGAGGAGTTAGTTCAGGGTAAGAAGTTTACCACAAGGAGCTGGAATCCTCCTAAAGTGTGGAATTTACTTCTGCTTGCAGTTTTGCTGGTGCGGGATGTCCTTCCTTATTCCATCATTGCCCCGATTTAGATGAGGTCGCCAGTGCCGATTCAACAAAACTAAAAACATCTGAAAACCAAGAACTGTGGCACCTCAATCGAGCACATCAGGGGGTCGCGATATGGCAAAAGCATTGCCAATGAACCTCAAAAGACCTCGACTCCAGTGACCTTTCTCAGTTCCCCGCCCAGGCGAGGGAAGTGAAGATGTCCGCCGCCATCGCTCTCAGGCACATCGCTCAGAAAAACCAGCATGGTATGAGTCCTCTGCTCACCTTGGTTCAGCAAAAATAGCAAGAGGACGCTACGAACGGGGCAAAGGGCATCGCTACGAACGGAGCGATCGGACGCTACGTTCGGGGCGCCTGGCCTTACTACTAGGAACAAGAAGCTAAGAGTGGCCCAGCCCTGCAAACTTCATGGGGCTCACAGGCCCACTAAGGTACAAAGCTTCAAGTCCGGGCATATCAGGCTTATCCAACACACACAACCACGCATCCAATTTTTAGATTTGGGACAGAGTAGTGTAGTAGTGGGAGATGTTACCACCAGCGAGCCTGTGTTCCCTTCTTGAATTTCAGATAATTTCAGGTCTACGGGTCTTTGTGCAATTGCTTCGGACACAATCCGGATCGGTATTGTTCCAAGACTGCTGAGGTGACAAAGCATCTCTTGAATTTTCTGTAGGCTACTCTGTGATGGGTGACCTTGGTCGCCCTCTGTCTATCAGGCCCTGGTTCAGACTGATCCAGGCTGCCAGCATAGGAAGACTTCCTCTCTGGCTCCTCATGTGTGTCCATGTGGGGGCTATAGTACCTCCCAGCAGAAATGACAGTCAATTGCTGGCAAATGTTCCGTGTCATGCTCGGGCATATTCAGATTCCAAGTCGGTCGGAAGGCGCACTGCCCTGGCAAGTACTTCACCAACTGTAGGGGCTCGATGCGTTCCTGCTCTACTCCGATGACCTCTCAGGACAGGACGTCTGCACAGGCTTCAAACGATTCTCCGGCCCAGCACTGGGCCACTACTTGTCTCACACTGGCCTGGTTGGCTCAAATCTACGAGGGGGTTCAATACATGGCATACGCAAGGTTCAAAGGAAAAAGGCATCTCTTCCTCTCTTCTCTTCCTAGGCGTTCCAACCGGCATCCACCTCTTGCTTCGCATCGCCTGGGCGCATCGCCTCTGCACGGCCTGCACCGCCCTCAGCTCCTGCTCGATCTGCTCAGCCAAAGCCACGTTGCCAGCATCGCGCAGCATCTGCAGGCGATCCTGAAAATGGCAAGGTCGAGAAAGGGAAAGCTATGTTCTAAGGGGTCGTAAGGGGTCGTGAGGGGTCGGGACTTTAAATTGGGAATCTTTATTTGTATAAATTGGAAATTCCTATTTCTTTTTGGTGGTCTGTGTGTGGTTCTCAATGGGGCAGGCATTACAAGTAGAAATGTTGTCTAGAAGAGTCATCAAAAGCAAGGAATGCAATTAAAAAACTCATCAAAAGAGAGATTTCAACAAACAGTCATAAAAAGTAATGATTTTACCAGAAAAGTTATCAAAAGTAGCGATGGCGATTGTAATGGGTCAGAATGAAAGATGTTGACTAGTAAAGTCGTCATCAAGAGCAGACAATTCAGTAGACAATTCATCGAACATGTTTCAAGAGAAAAGTTATCAAAAGTAGAGATAGTCAGGGGAAAGGCATCAAAAGTAGAGATTTGACTTATCAACAGTAGTAAAGTCAGTCATTAAAACCCGCACAGAAGCCAAAAGCCACAAAAGCCGCACAACCCAAAAGCCACACAGAAGCCAAAAGCCACAAAAGCCAGAAGCCACAAAAGCCATAAAAGCCAGAAGCCACAAAATCCACAGAAGCCAAAAGCCACCAAAGCCACCTAACCACAAAAAAGGAATTGCCCACTAAAAATAAAAACTTAAAATCACCCTCCGTATTCTAAGTCTGCAAGCAGTCTTGCTTGCAAGTTGTGCAAGTCAGTGCTGGACAATTCCAAACACTGCTACAGTCCTGCGGAAGCAAGAATCAACATGAGACAGCCGGCTAGCATGAAAGCCAGCAAATGAGCCGGACATCGGTTCCCAAACTGGAAGACGAAAGGCCAAACACCAAAGCGAAACTCCGCGCATCGAGTTTCAGAGACTGAGACTTCAACCTGTTCCCGAAAACGAACACTTTGCGTGCAAAGCTACCACAGAAAAAGATCACGCCATAGCACGCCTAGAGGCTTCCAGGCTGAAACGTCAACATACGTCAACCAGCAATAAGCGTGTGGCAAGCCAACTGTGTCCTTAAGCAGTGATTACGCTATGACGCCGTTACGGTGTTTGGTGTTGGATGCCTTGTGCTCTACGCCACTACGGCGCTACGCCAGTCGCTGCCCCAAACGGTGTACCGCTGCGGTTCGGTGTGCGCATCGGCGCTGCCAGGCTCCCGAAACGGAGGCGGAGCGGCTACTCACTCGGAACTTCGCGCATAAAGACTCACGGGCTGAAACTTCAACCTGTAGCAATGTAGCGCTCCCGAAACTAAACCCTCATCTACTCACTCAAAAGATAATCGCAAGCGCTCCCACAACCCATGCCTCCAACCATTCGCCCCTCCATCCACCCATCCCGACTCCACGCCACCGCTACCCTACATCTGCCAGCTGTTCTTTGGTTGAGCAAATTGTGGTGCCGACCAGGACCCTTGCCTACGACAGCTCTTCCGCAGGGCGCCCATGTTCCACTATACTTCATGAATACATCCATCCATCCATTCATTCGTCCGTCCATCCTCTTTCCATCCGTCCATTCCTCCATCCCTCCATCCCCCACCCTACCACTACCCTGAATCCAAACCCAACATGCCTAAAGCACGCCAGCCATCGCGACCCCATAGTTCTAGGATCCTCCCTCCATCCATCTACCATCTGTCCAAGCATCCACCATCTACTCATCCATCCATCTGCAACTTCGTTAAGCAACCTTACCACCATCCAACGATGACGTGCAATCACCAGCATCATCAACTCTCCCCAAACACCAACAAAACAACATAAGAAAGTGAGTGTCATCAATTTGTCCTGTTTTTCCCGTCTTCCCCCCCCCAGACCCCCACAACTCACAATGTCTAACTTCAGCCGGTTCGCTTGCCGGCTGGCTTTCATCATAGAGTTGGACGATCAGTCAGTCGCCATCGAACCAATCGACTGGCCTCCGGCTTCGAGACGATTGGTTTGGCGCGAATGACTTATCTTCCAAGGTGCCGGTGGGGTCATCAGTGGCCAAAGCATGGGGCAAGAGCTCGATGTCCTGTGCCTCAGATGAAAGGGAGACCTGGACTCTAGACTGTAGAGCCAGTTTCGGGGAAGGTGCCAGGTCAGTCTGTGTTTTAATTTTTCACGAGTCTTGCAACTGTGAATGATTCTCCTGTGCGATGCAAAACCAGAAACACTGGACCTGGGTTTGGGATCCAATAAGATTGGATAGGATTGACTTCGGATGATTTCCATCATGGCCACAGGCAAGCACATGACGAGAAGAGATCTGAAGGATGAAACTACACTACCAGGAAGACAAAACAATCAAGAGAAGGACAAAAGAAGGGTGATGAATCGGTGATTAGATCACAGTGACAAATGGCGTTTGGGGTTACAAAACTCAAGAACCGAGTAGCTGGTCCACCACCACTTCCCCATCCTTGCGCCGCTGGACACTGGCAGCGAATCCGTGCCGGGCGTCGCACAGGGAGATCAGCTCCTCTACAGAATCACAGGGCTACAGAAGCTACGAACGGAGCAAAGGGCATCGCTACTAAGTAGGGGCTCCTGGCATCGCTACGAACGAAGCAAGGATGCTACTGGTAGCTTTTGCTTGCCCTAAAAGCTGACTTGTGACTGCGAGCAAAGTAGGGTGGCTGAGGGTGGCTGGATCCGGAATCTCGCCTTTGGGAGAGCTCATTCCCACAGAAGAGCCCCATGTTCCGAGTCGAACACAGAAGTAGGCCATTTCTAAGGGACGCTGCTTTGGGCATAAAGAAAGTTGCAAGCCATCTGCCATCTCCTGCAACTGCGAGGCACCAAACAGGCCCTTCCCAAGATGGATCTCAGGTTCATCTTCCTGGCGACTCCCAGCTGTTGCAACTCTGCCATGTCAATCCCCGCATCAGACTTCTAAAGTGGCTTTCTGAAAGCATGGCATTGGTCCTTGGTCAGCCTTTGCATGACGGCGGCGTCGCTAATGACCCCACCTTAGCTCGATGCCTCGCTCTCCCAGCTCCAAACTCCTTGAAGCTCAAAAACCAAAGTGGTGTGGCCAATGCACTGAATGGACTGCCAAGCGTCAAGCGGTCGTAGCCGTAGCCCTTTGCTTGCGGCAGCGCCTTCGACAAGTCCAACAAAAATAATGATCGTATTGTCGCAGAAACGCACCTCAGACCTCGCATTGTTGGTATGTGCTGGGGATACGTTGGTGAAATGAGGCCATTGAGCATCCATGGAGCACTTCATGGTCACACTTCAACGAATTGCAATAAATCCACAACGTTTAACATGTTTGTGCCTTTGTTTGGTCAACTTGAAATAACTAAGATTTCAGAAGCTGAAGAAGAGTTCCAGGCCTCCAGTGGTGCCAGACCGCAGAGGTTCCGGCAAGAAGAGTCACATCTCCTCACAAAACACACAATCTTGCAATAGTCGTCAATATAGAGCCCCCAAAAAAGTGTTTGTCAAATGGCTTGCGGTCATCATAATCCACCCCGCAGAACCTCTCATATCGAGCCAATAAGGGGAGGGAACATAGTGCCAGCAAGCTGCTCAAGGCCTTGCCTGCGGTCTGCTGGCAAACACGGGAATGCCATCTTGATGGCGGTTCGAAGACCTGACTTTCTCAAGGCCCACTCGAGCTGCTCGAGTTCAAGCTCAACCCGTGCATGCTCTGCAGTTGACACATCGCGAGAAGCGCTTGTCGATCTACAAATCTCCCACCAGCACAAACCGCTGAATCCTCTTGATGGCTGGGCAAAGCATGCATGCAAGGCTTACCTTGTTGAGGGGGTTCAAATCTTCAACTCTCAAGCATCAGCATTGATGTCAAGCCACGACCGTCGCAGCCCCCGGCACAGCTCGCGTGGGCAGGTTTAAGGACATAGCGATGCTGCCAAGGTACATTCAAATGGCTGGTGGCCAAAGGTTCACTTCTGAGATGACTGATGATGACTGCACATTTGGCTCTGAGGAATTTGCGAAAATGCCTGAAAAGGTATGACACGTGGAGGGGAACAAACAGTGGTTGACAACAAAGCTGCACATGCTGTAAGCAAAAAGGAGGGAGCGCCCATGTACAGTAATCGTTAGGCTATGTAATCATAGGCTTGGCAAATTCTTGTGGTCCATCTGCGTCTGTCAAGGTTGAGCTGTGGCATGGTGGCATAGTTGGTTATTTGCTATACCTCATGCCTGGAGCAAACTGAAGTTGCTTTTGGCTGAGGCGGGTGGAGCTGTGAACAATAGCTTGTGCCCTGTGAAAGGCTAGCTCCATCACCGGCAAAACTCGAAACTTAGGACTCAGGAGCAGCAGCAACATCATACAGAGTCATACCAGAGTCATACGTGTTCAGGGCGCTATAGCCGCTAGCGTCCTCTAATCATCCCAGCAGGGATCGCTGGAGCTGAGTACACAGCAGCAGGGAGCCTTCAAACGTTCGCAATCCAACAGAGATCTTGGCAAAAGACTTGGAGATGGACTTGAGCTACTTGCGACCAAAAGGACCCAAGAAGACAAGTCAAAGAAGCAAATCACTAGGTATCACTAGCAGTCACTAGCATGCTGGGCCGTCGACTCTGTCAACACCATTTTTCCAGGTGCGCGAAGGAAACAAGCTGAATGCTGAAAGCCAAATGCTCAGCAGAAAGGTCTCCACATCATTCAAGAATATATTTTGGGTGCCGAAAGCCTGCCAAGGACCCATCTAAACTCACAACAAGGGCAATCAATAACCCTACCAGTTCCTGCTACAAATAGCTTTAACTTCTCACCTTGATTGAGCTAGTCGCCATGCAGGGCCATGCAACATCCTGTAGGCAGCTGCTACGTTTCACGCACAATCCATTTGCCCTCTTACTGCGTCACATCTTCTGGCGCTTCGCTTCAGGAAGTTCTGCGAAGTCATTCCTGAAGCCACACGGGTCGAGAATGGAAGTCCCAATGATCCAGACCTGCAATGAACCTGTGAGAATACAAGCTTTGCCAGCAATGCAATACCCCCACTCCTGCTTGTGGCCATGTCCACGAATTGAAATAGCATAAAACCATATCACTTGGAAAGAACTTTCAAACATGGTGAGGCACCCGCAGAGTCAGAATGCAAACCCTCTGCTGGAAAGAGGTTGCTTCATTCTCCACATGATGCCGTGCGGAGAGTGCTGCGGAGAGGCCACGATGCCACAAGCTGGGATCCCCGCATCACTGAACACGTGTAATCCACATCGTCGAAGGTGAGCTCCGGATACAAAGGAGGACAAACATGGTTCTCGCCTCAAAAAAACTGCAGTCGTTGGGCAGACTCTGCATTGCAAAAGCATTGGCGTTGAAGAGGCTTGACGATACATTCTTCTGATGGAGGCAAAATTAAGTAAGAGCATATCAAATTCAAGAGCATGGCCCAGCATGGCACGATAGCTTGTGGTCAACCCTCAGTTCTGCACACATCTCATCTGTCACTGGCAAATGCACAGGCAATCCATCTTCAGCATGGGCTGGCATGCGATGGACTGGCCTGAGTTCCATGCTCAGAAAACCGTGGATGCCTCTCATCCTTTGTGGGGTGTAGGGGTGCACAATTCAATCAAGAGGTTCCAACCGTTTCAACCGCTTTGATGACTTCGATGTGGACATACCGCCCAAACCGCATTCTCACCCCGCAAGGCAGATCGTCAAACAGGAGCTCCAACCCAGCGGCCTGAAATAGACCTCTGCTGTAAAAGTGACGCCTTGACACATGGGATTCAATTAGCCAAAAGGTCAGCAGCCAGTTGATTGAGAATTTTCCAGTTGATTGATTCCAGTGTCCAGTCACTTCATGTGACCCAGTCAAGTGAATTCACGTGATTCACTTGGTCAGAATGTCGCTGCGCCTCTCTCCAAGGCATAGGTTCTTAGCTCCTCTCGGCGCTGACGAAGGTGTCCTTCCAAAACCACCACCTTTGCAGAAATGTAGGGAGACATGTGGGATATGACACGGCTATGAGTATCTAAATCAAAAACGCCTCTGAGAACTACTTGTGTTCACATGGTCACAGGGCTGAAAGGCCTGCTAATTACAAGTGTTGTCAAAAAGTATTGCAGCTTCAATCCTTTGCCAACCCTGTTTGCCCCATGAGGTCTCGAACCACTGCTGAAAATCATAACTGAGAATACCGGCGCATTTGTAGGCGGAACTTTGACCTTGGCCATCCAATTTGAAATTGTGGACAAGATTCCGCCAAAAAAAGGCAACAACAAAGTGTGAAGGCATCTTGAGAGAGAACGTGAGCGCTGAATTGTGTTTTCATCCTCTGGAGAACGCAGCAGGTCAATCAGAGTCGTCTTGACCACTTTGAGCCAAAACAAGCCCATCAGGAAGGACCATCAGGAAGGAGTTCAGCAACCTTCAGAAATCATCACTGCAAACCAGAACTGCAAACCAGCCCGCGTAGCCCTATCTACAGTTGTTTCCACTGAGTTTGGAACTCCATTGTTGCGCAACAGCCCATCCAAAGCGATCAACTGTTCTTGCCAAGCTTCCAACACAACCCCCATACAGTCCATACCGCTACAATGCTACATCTCCTCGTGCTCCCGGAAGGCGGCCTGGAAGCAAGAAAATGCAAAGGGGCCCACTGTTGGCCAGTGTCCCAAACTCGGTGATCTGGGCACAACCCCCCAGATCAGCCCTTCCGACCTATGATGGGTCGCTTGTGTTGGCTGACTACTTGCGCATGGTTCGGATTGATGGCCCGTCAAGCTTATGCACCAACCATCATCTTGTGAGAATACAGAAAAGGTTTGTTGTTCGACATGGGCAGCTATCCCATGGATGGGGTTTGTTCCAGCCCGGCTCAGGCACCATGAAAAGTGCGGCGCCCGCAACCGCCGTATCGCCTCAGCTTGTGAACCAGCAAAAAGAAAGAGTCTCAACTGGAATGCGCGCTTCCAGGGCAACCAACTCCTGCATCCAAGTGGCCCAGTACTTGCTTCCATTTCAGGCTTCCTAAGATCAGGCATGTGGGACAGTTCTGGTAGGCCGCTGCCTCACTGCTTAGCTGTTTTACAATGGCAGTGGGCACATGGGGCAGCTATCTTCTCCCCTTTCCAAAATGCTCGGTCTGGTGTGCACAGTCCAGCTAAGTCGCCATCATCATTGTAGTAGCGCTGTCGCAAGGCACCAGCCACACTCTCTACCGCACTGGTGACCAACTGCGACACTTGCTGATCCACCTTCTGCCAGTCAATCTTGCCATTCTTCATAAACCTGATTTGATGGACTTTCCGATGGTCACCGCATGTGCCAGGTGCAGTCCACTGAGTTTCCCAATGCTGCGGCTTCTTCATATCAAAGCGACCAATTCCCTACAAGCCGCGGCCTATTATCCCGCATTGACGGAAGGGCCACAACTGCATGATCATCTGAAGCAACCCGGGGAGCATCTGCCATCAACAAACCCAAAGGCACCATTGTGGACTTGGGTCAAGCACTGAGATTAGACCCAATGGTTTATGAGCCACTCATGTTGTTGATCAGTTGCCATGCTCGTCTGCTCGCCACGCTTGGCCCGACAAAATCACACAGAACGCGCAGGTGTTTAAAGTTTAATGCTTTGCCCAGAAGCTGTCCTAGGTTCATTGACTCTGCAAAGGTTCGAAGAGCCTCTTCCAGATTGACTCGAGTTTTCCAGGCTCCTCCGGAAGACAGCCGCTGAAAAGGTCTTCTTGACAAAACTCCGTTGGCCTTCCAACTGGCCACTCAGATCATGGTTTTTGGGGCGTTCAGAGAACATGATGACTTATCCAAGTGGCAGAGCCCATGTCCCAACCTCAAGCAACTTCAGAGATCATTCAGCCACCACTCACCTGATGAATTGATAAAGAACAAAGTGTGTCGGAAGGATGCCCCACAACAACACAAAAACAAAGAAAAGAGAACAGAAACAGTCCTGCTCTTGAATCACCTGCTCGTGGCCTTTCTGTCTTCAAACCCGTCAAGTGGTTGTAGGCCTCAAACGGACAATGAGAAATGGTTCTCCGCGCAGCTGCACAAAAGCCTCAACAAGTACAAATTGTGGTGAAAGCCACTGAGAGTCATGAGTTTTTTCTTTGCGCCAATCAGTCGAGGGGTTGGACGGAGGGCACCTGTTAACGTATGTGCCTATTGTCCCACACACACACACACAAAAAAAAAAAAAAAAAAGATAAAGTGCTTCAATGATTTTTAATTTCGCTGAACACGGGGCTACTCCAAGATATGTAAAGAATGTTGAAACCAACAAAGAGTGTGAAATACCTCCGTGGAGAGGCCCGCCCTAGCCCAATAGAGGCACATTGAGCAGAGTATTGAGCAGGAACCTTCCTCCACCCCTCCTTACCCCGTCTGGCAGCTCCGGCAGCTCCTCGGCCCTGCCTCGGTGATCTCGATGAAGCGTTGCTGTGCCTCCGCGCTCGGGTTCTTGTCCTCAGCAAGTAAAATGGGAACAAGAAGCTACGCTCGGGGCTCCTGGCATGGGCCAATCTTAAAACGATCTCGGACCCAGCCCCATGCAGCCTGGTTGCTGGGTGCCATTTCCTGGGCTCTGGGCAGGGGCACGTCTAACACATACTGCACAAGTCTGGGTGAGTCAGGCCACAGCCGCCACAGTCTTCCTTTCGTAGATTTATATATATAGCTCGAATTTTGTGAGTCGTGGAGGCGCGCGTGCAAATATCCAGGAGGTAAGTAGGAGTTTTTGTGCTGGGCAAGCGCGACTCAAATATTTCCGCACAAGCACTGCTGAGTGAACGTGCACTGCTGAATGTACGTGACGTAATTAGCAATGTTCTGCCAACATAAGTGAATGTGTGTTGCAACAACTTTCGTTTACAAAATGTTTTCTACAGTGGTAGCCCCTCATAGGAGTCTAACATACTGTATTCAACAGTTTTGAGAAGTGAAACGCTGCTCATACTCAAACACCGTTGACCCGAAGCATACACATGGCCCACAGCGCAGCAAACGTCCATTTGGCCACGCTTTCCACGCGACCACGCACTCGAATCCATCGATCATTCGATGAACTCCTGTCCCGTCTGGTTGCACCACCAAACAGCCCCAATGAGGCTGGGTTGAGAGGGCGATAAGAGCGATAAGCCATGTGTTTCGATCATTACCCAGGCAGGGGACGGTCATAAAAAAACTATGATGGAAGCAAGCTGCAGAAGTGAGAGCCAGCTGTCATCTTGCAATCAGACCATCCCCTTCCAGTCACTTTGGACCACAAATGCAAGAGCTCAATACTTGCAAGCTCTCACATTTCATCGTAGCTGCTGCTATGTCATGCTATGTCTAGCTTATACCCCTGAAAGTTTCCTTCGCCAGGAATGCCCAACTCTTCAGGCCTTTGCGCTCTTTTCTAGGCCGCTTCAACAGCTTGAGCTTCAACCCCGCATGAGGCCTCAGCCTCTAAATCTGGACTGCTGGCCGAAGGAATGCCATGCTTCTCCAACGCCTCAGGCGTGGCTGTCCGGGCATCAGAGGCCTTGAGGACCAGCACCAGGTTGTTGTGAAGGGTAAAGCGTAGGAACTCTTCCTGGCTTGGGCAATTGACCTCCCCTCCTGCCTTGCATGTTGAACATCAAAGTAACTGCAACTTCATTCACTCCTGACATCCATCCACCAAAGCCAGCACTTGCCGCAAGTTCTTCACAATGACCCCATTCACCTCGCAAAGCAGTCTCACCGAAGCAAACTTTGAGGGCCCTTTAATATAACCTTCAGAACCTCGTAAAAATGTGGAAATCAATCTGCTACAGCCACTGCTCAGAATGATTTGACTGGTCTCCTGGCAGCATCCTTTGATCCACTTTGATGTCAAGTGGCGTCGAGAAGCAGCATGTTCTCCAGCTCCTCGTAGCCTATTGTGAGATCATGTGCCAGGACTTGCGTCAACACCACCAACTGCTCTCCCTGTTCTTCAGCGCGCTGATGGATCACCCGGTGGACGATTTCGATCGGAGCCTGTCAAGGAACAGAAAAGGTCGCAAATTCCAGCACAACTGCTTTGATATCTTCAAATGCTACGCCGCAAAACCAAAAAGCAACTGATGCGCAGGCCTCACACTCCCACTCTTCACCAAACTCGGATCGCAAAAAGGGCACGGTGAGGGTGGTGAAGACCAAGCCAGCAACGATGAGGTAGGAGGGCACCTGAAACACCACTAGCCAAGCCTGGACCTTGTAGAGCTTGAGGGCAGGATGTACAGCACTTGATTTACAAGTCGGGGTCGAATTCAAGGAAAAGTATTAACACTGTTCAAGACCCAAAAGAGCAAATGAGAGCAAAAAAGGTGCCACCCTGACCCTTACAAAGGTCAAATGAACCCGTGAAAGCCTGGTGCTTGGTGTTGAAGAGATGCACTGGGACCAGTGCCACTTCTGGATGAAGCTTTTCAAGCTGAAGATCCAGGAGCTCTCCATTGCGCAAAACCTGTTAGGAGGGACAGGGTTGCTGGATCGCACTGCCCTTAAAAACTTAAATGGGTTGTAGTGGCGGCTATCCACGCATACGATACTCAAATTGGAAACAATCCAGGATGATCCGAGACTGTGACACACCGGACAGCCAAATCCTTTTGGATGATGCTGCTCATACAGGGGACTAGGGCACTGCCCTTCGCAAGTGCTTCGTCCTTGTTCATTGGGAATTTAGTCATCAGGAGTCAAATTCAGAAACACGACTAAGAAGCCTTCAACTGGGCAGGTTCGCCATAAAACTTCTGCGCCACCAGCCAGCCTGCACTGCATCAAAGCCAAGTGTCATGCGGCTCAAAAAATTGCTAAGCCCCTGCATAATTCACGTTGTCTCGGGTGCTTTCACAGCATAAACACGCTTGTCTAGGCAAGGAACTGAATGCAACACGCTCGTGCTTGCGGTACAACACAGTTCCATCGTTGGCAATGGGTTCGTTGTCGAAGGACAATAGCACGTCGCCAGCCTTCTCTGAAGGAGAAACCAACCAAAAGAAAATTGTGTTTCAAACCTATACATTGTGATCCCTGTGCACCACAGGAATGCCGCACAGTTGTCTTGACAACTCGCGGCCTGAAGGAGTGTTGCCACCGCGCAGGTCGGCGCAATTCGATTGACCAGGAGGCCCTTCTGCGTGGGCGACATGCCAAAGGCTTCCCTGGTATCAGCACACAGTCATCCAGCATG